ATGTGAACTTTTTACCTTCTCGAGGATACTATCAAGAACGAAATCTTAGATCCAAGATGCTACCCAAACTCCAAGCTCTTCTCACCACTCTCTTATTCTTCAATAACACTTCTAAACACTCCAAAGGGCTCCAAAAATGCACTTTTCACTTAGGGTTTGCTTGAGACCGTTTCTCACAGAAGGAGCTTGAAGAAGAAATGAGATATGAGGCTATAATGAGGTTTAAATATGGACCAAACCCAAAAAATTAGGGTTTGCCATTTCTTCACGTACGCCACATGTACGAGGTGTACGTCCAACGTACTAGGGTGCGCTCTAGTATGCCTAGCATACACAACGTACGCTCAATGTACTACACTTGGGTAAAATTACTATATTTCCATTATGGGCCATTTGCAATCATTTCCAATCGCAAGGGCTAAAATACAACATTATTCAAACATACGGTTGAAATTGAAATTACCTTGACATCGGGATTTTACATATAGACTACGGTTAGACCTCAGGGGTAGCCCAGGGCATTTGTATGAAAGACCATGGGGGTAGCCTATGACACTTGGATGTTAGACCATGGGGTAGCCCATGGTATTCCAAGGAAAAACCATGGTGGTAGCCCATGATATTTAGATGTTAGACCATGGGGGTAGCTCATGACACTTGTATGTAAGACCATGGGGGTAGCACATGGCAATGTATGTATGGTATGTGGTATTTTGGGGAACTCACTAAACTTGTGCTAATGGTTTATGTTTGAAATGTTTTCAGGTACTTTCGGTTCAAAGGGGAAGGGTCTAACATGATCGCACAAAATCCACCCGTGTTCCGTATTATATGATTTTGAGATTATACTCTGATAACTATTTCTACATTGACATACCTTGTTGGTTTTTGGAATGTATGATTGATGTTTTGGTTTATTTAAAAACAAAATTTTTTCCTTAGAATTTTTTAAAACGTTACATGTATGCATTGTATGTGTATTGTGGTATATAGTATTTTAGAGAACTCGCTAAACTTTGTGTTTATAGTTGTGAATTAAATGTTTTTTAGGTTCTGCTTTTGGCGGTGGCAAGGCTCGAGCTCAACTGTGATACATATGCATCTCCTGTGTTTATGTTTTTTTGACTTCCATTACTTCTAATGTTTTGAAAACAATGATTTCCATATGTTAAGCTTTTATGGTTTTAGAACTATTGATTCTTCGCCTTTATGGAAAAGAATGTTTTAATTAATCTTTTAAAAAGAAAAGTTTGGATTGAAATTTGTGACATTACAACAAGATTATAAGAATGGTGATGACAAGGATAATGTAGAAAATTCTAAATAGAATGTATTTTGTTTGATAATCTTTCATATTTTTAGCAATCAATGAAAATATATCATGTTCTATCACTTAAGATGAAACCATCATCAATAAAAGAGTAAGGTAAAAGACACCAAATTATTTGAATAGGACTAAGCGTGAAAAGCGCCTAGCAGTCAATTTAAAATCGCCCTTTAGGGCTATCCCTTTAACTTCATGAGACCCACTTTTTGATGCATTTTTTCTAGCAATAACTATCGTGTTTTATATAATACAATATACAATGACATATGAGTATACAAAAAAATAAATAAATTCTAATCATTAACATTCCTCTGCATTTTGATCGGGAGGAGACGATGAAACCGGAAAAACAAAAACATCAAAACATAAAACATAGATGAAGATAAAAAAAAAATAGAAGTGGGAGGCCGGTAGAGATCAAGAACTGGACACATCGACGGTAGCGACAGTGGAGACCGGATTTGCAAGAAGCGGCGACTAGATCTTGAGACAGTGGCAATGGCAACGGGGAAGAACTGATGTCCAACAAAGTCGATGCTAAAAGACATCGAGCAGAGGTTACGACGAGTGTTTATATGAGAGATGTTTTTTTAGGAGGAGAAAGTGGAGATGTGATTGGAGAAAAGGGAAAAAAAAACTGGACAAAGAAGGCACCTCTGACTATTAGAGAAGGTCACCAAAGGTGGAAGGCGTGAGCTGCAGTCTGTAGTCAGCAGTCTATTAGAAAAAGTCACAAAAGATGGAAGGCGTCGGCTGCAGCATGTGGTCAGCAGTAGCAGTGACGAAACTAATGTGTTGGTAGTGGCAGGAGGTGCTACCCCTCATCTACTCCCCACATGTACAGAAAATTTGAATTTTTTAGATGTATATTACAAGGTATACATCTGGAAGGCGTCAGCTGTATTCTGTAGTCAGCAGTCTATTAGAAAAAATCACCAAAGATGGAAGGCATTGGCTGTAGCATGTGGTTAGCAGTAGCAGTGACGAAACTAATATGTTGGTAGTGACAGGAGGTGCTACCCCTCATCTACTCCCCACATGTACAGAAAAATTGAATTTTTTAGATGTATATTACAAGGTATACATCTGGGGAAATCAAGTGTACTTTGTAAAGATTAAATTAAAAATTCACTTAACCATTTAGTAGCCCACTAAATAGAACAAATGGCTCACTAATTAATAAATAAGAACACACTACTACCCAGCCCAATGTCAGCAGCAAATTAATCAAACAAAAAGAAATTTGTGTTTTCAACTTTCCTACTTCACTTCGTGGCCTTCTTTTCAGGTTCTCCCACATTGACATTTGCTTTGCTAAATAAAAAGATTAGTGTTTATATACAATGATTTTTAATGTTTTATTACTTTATTTTAATTTAGTCCTTCGATTTGAAAATTTAAAATTCACTATATTTGTTTGCTTTTTATGTTGTCGGCGAAATTAAGTTTAAATCTTTAATCGTGAATTTTAAATCTTTAATTGTGTTTGTAGGGCTTCATTGGAAATGGATGATTTTTAAATCTCTAAATGAATTTTATATTTTTTAAATTGACTTCGGTTTTACCTTCACAACTGCAACCGTTGAAAAATGGTTTTCTGCAATGAATATTTTGAACAATGTTTTGAATTTTAGCGCTGAAAAAGAACTATTTCTAAATGTTAAGATCGAATGAGTGATAAAGTGCTTACGAAAATAGGTAAACGAAGAAGTCAACTTTATAATGTAAGACTGTTATGTTTGTTTGTTATATCTAATAAAACTGCAATATACATTATTAAAATTATATTATTAAAAAAAATGTCTTACTACCTTTTATGCGGATTTTTTTGTGCTACCCCAACAAAAGTTCCTGGTTCCGCATAAACAGTAGTACTTTAACAAAATATTTTGATACTATGTTAGATAATAAAATGCTTCATTATTTAAACGAGAATTACATAGAAATACACAGAGAATACATAAACCCTAATAACTAAACCAAAGGGATTTAAGCCTAAACCCTAAATATAATTATGTAGAAACTCTAGTAAGAAATCATATGCTTTTTAAATTAAAAATATTATGAAAAGGATGATTACTGATTAAAAGTTTATTTGTTAACACCATATCAAACATGTTGAATCTTTTACTATGAGATACAAAGTTTTCCACGAAAGGTGCACGATTATACCCATTAGTTGTGTGGTTAAAAAATATTGCAAATGGGTCTAAGCTTCCCTATGTGGATCGGGGTTTATTGTATCACTTTAGAGTTCGAAAAGTAGATTGGGCTTTACTGTATCATTTAGAGTTCAAAAAGTAGACCGGGCTTTATGGTATCACTTTAGAGATCGATTTTTTTTTTTTGGTCAACAGTGAAATACAAATATCTAATCAACTCTTAAATTAAAACTAAAACCTAATTTTATGTTTTCCATTAATCATAACAGTACTTAGTGGGTGAATGGCCAATTGCGGAGCTTTATAGGGGACAAAAATATTATTTTTTCTCCAATCAAATGTTAATTTTATACATATTAAATCCAAAAATATAAAATTTTAGCTATGACCCTCTTTGTTTACCGATTTTTATACATATTATCTTTCCGGCCCCAAATCAAATGTTGAAGCTCCGCCTTTTGCGCTATAGACGTGAATACATGGACTTTAACCGACTCAATTACAGTATATCCTAATAATAAATTTTGGAAATGTTAACAATCTTTCAAAACTAATTTCAATAACTTCTAAAGTCGAAAGATTATTGGACAAAGATTGTATGGTATTTGTTTATATGTGGTTGAAGGCATTAAGTAGTGGTAATAAGTGGAAAATAATAAATAAAGAAAGAAGTTGTATAGGTTGGTGGAATCTGGAAAAAATCCAAGATGTACAAA